AATATTTTGTTTTTTGAAGGTTTATAGTTATTCAAAATCTTCTTTAACTCACAGAACTAATTATATGCTTCAGTTAAACTGAATATTTTATTTTGATTGTTTCATATCGAAGCTAATTAATTTTATTCGAACTGAATATCTTACTTTGATTTGTGTTATTAATAGCGCTGGGATTTTAATGTTATTAATAGCACTGAGATTTTAATTAGTTGTGTGTGAAACTAATTAATAGCACTGTGTATGGTTTATGAAAGCATAATCCTATATTATATTGGAATAGAGAATTCAACATTGTTAACGTATGATCCTCTGAAAATCTCACAGTTTGTTTGTTTATTGATACACATACATATGCACAGACTTGTGTGTTCAGTGCAAGGAACTGCTCATAAGGCCTTATCGACAAGAAGGGACAGCACAATTTAGAAAAGGGAAGAACAAAGATACTTCCAGGGTTATGGTGGGATACGAACCAGCTACCTCCACACTCACACTACGGAGTGTTTGGCGGAACGGATTTACGGCTCGGTCAGGATGACAATCCTCTTTTCTCGCATTTATTGATAGTTTTCTTTAATTTATTTATTTACAGTAGTGGTATTAATTTATTTATATCTCCCTAAAGTTTCCTAATAGGCTATTGGTGATGGTCTGGGAAACATCCCTGAAGATAATCCAAAGATACGCATGACAGTTTTGATCTTCTGCAGACGTTATGGTTAACTTTAGCAGATCGACTACCTGCTCGCGAAATCGAGAACTTTAAGGTAGAACAGTTTAACGAGGACTGATACCACGAACCCTCATTCCCTACGTACAAAGTGCTCACCCACCCAATTACTAACTGCTGATACTTGATTTTGGTGATCCATTGGGAACCATGTTTTACTAACCACTTTGGACCTTTAATTTATTTATTGTTACACATACATATGCAGGTTTGTGTACTCATTACAAATACGGCTTATAGCCTCTTGTAAATTCTTTAATTTCAAAGAATATCTTAACTTATGAAACTATCGTCAGAGCTTTTTAACAATACAATCATAAAAGCAAGATAATAGAGCTATAAGCGTTTGCAAAGATCTCGTCGCACTATTCTTCAATGCAAAATAATCATCGCCACCAAAATAATAAATTCACCATGATCGATTGGATTCGCTTTAAGTTTTTTTTTTTCTTCCAATGCCCACCTGAGTTAACATTTTTCGTCAATTCAGGCATTTACAGGTCAGATTTGTTGGCCTCTCTTTCAGGGACACCCTATTAGGTGGGCCAACGTTGCTCACACAGTAAGAACAGATAGTACAGAGAAGGAAAGAACATCCATGCCTTGCCCGGGATTCGAACCTAGAACCTTTCTGGTGCAAGGGTAGTTCCCTAACCCCTACACGGGCCACTTGGCGATTCGCTTTAAGTAAAGCATGCTATTTCTATTTCGTAAGTTTGTGAAATTTTATTTCTTATTAAAGAATATTATAAAATTTTAATGTTTTCAAATCAATTTAAATCTGATTTTAACGGAAGTCACATTGGAAGTATTTTACACTCCGTAACTTATCACACATGCCTAAATCATATTTTTTTCAACAAAAAAGTTAAATAAGTAAGTTATACAAAAGCTTTGTTTTTTTTAAAAAAAAAAAGCTTAATGAACTTTTTTTTGGAAAAAAAATTACTCTTTTTCTTTCAATTTTTATGCCTTACAAGTAGATTAAAACGAAGTCGCAAGAAACTATTTCGTAATTAGGAAAACAATTGTCAACCTTCTGATGGTTTGATTCAAGAAGACGTCTGTATGATAAAGATTATATTTAAAAACATAACAAAGTTGATCTTTTTTACCAGAGCTAATTAGTCCAATATTTTTGTAGTTTTGCCCTTTTTAGTAATTTGAGCTATTTTAAGGGATTTGTTTGAACACTTGTGCTGCATTCATTTTCAACTTAAAGTATCATCACGAATATAAAGTATCAAATGTAGTTTAGGGAAATTGCACTCACGTTATAAAAATATTGCTTCTTATAATTAGTAATATGAATGAAAGGTACGATTTTCTAGTTTGTTTTGTTTCGCCTGAGGATCTTGTTGGGTCTAATTATAATTAGTTTCTGGAACTAGTATTAATTATCTATAATAATAATTGAACCTCTCAAATTTTTCGATGGAATCTTCAAAATCTTTAAATCCTGATCCACTGCTGCTACTTTTTTTTATTGAAGGAAGGCGAGATTAGTTGGGCAAACTTTTTACCAAACTATTTTTTTAGAATATTTTCAATATATGTGACTAATGCTGTGCCTAGTTAAACTAGTTGGCTAAAAAATGTTGATATAAATCACTTAAAATGAAACGCTTGAACTTGCAAACATATTTCTGCAGTTTGCAATGCTAATTTATTACATGAAATGGTGTTGATCCACACGAGCTAGTCACTAAATTAAAGACAAGTCCTAATGACTAACAGATTAAATAAGTACTTAATTACTAATAAAATTAGTATTTAAAAGTTTCAGTACTTCAAAAATTTATTACGATTCCTGCAAAAATCTAAAATAGTCCATCTATAAAAAATCCACCCTCAAAAAATTTGGAAAAGTCTAACTTTTGCCAACATTGACTACTGTTCTGTGTAAATTAGAATACCAACTGACATCAACAAGACTATCCATTCTACCTAACTGTTAAAATAAATATAGTTAAAATGTATTCATACCATAACCCATTGTGGGCCAGGAAAATCATAGAGATTAAAGCTTTACAATTTCGCAACCAACAGCGTGGCAATATAATCAACAATGCGCACAGACCGCCTTTACTTCTCAGATAAGATGGCACCCATCGATCTGAAGTTGTTTGAGCTTCAAGCAGCCCCTAAGAATCGATTCTTAATTCTTCACAGTAACAAGTTCAGTGCCTTGACCACTGAGCCAATGAGGCTCAAAATATGAAAAATATGCATAATATAAATTATGAAGGCATAATAGTAGTGAGTAGAGCCATAAAATATTTTTGATCTTCACTGAACTCAAGCCCTGGGCCGGATGCTAACTATAAAATATCTAATAGTAACACCCGTTTTTAGAGAAAATTTGGATTTTTTAGAAGAAAAAAAACCTGCCTATTTGATGTGAAGAACTTAGGCGTAATATAACGTCTAAGTAATGACAAGGGCGATACTGATGTATTGTGCCCAAAATAAGAAACGGACCACCCTGAATAACTTTTGATCTAATGATCGGGTATTCACATTCTGGGACTTAATCTTAATGGTTCGAGGGGTTCGATCGTCTGCCTAATTAATAACCACACATATGCTTATTAATTAGGCAGATGATTTGTTAAGCTACGTCATCAGACGCAAAACATACTTTCTCTGAATAAACTTAAAACTTTTTTTCGACGAATTCAGATTACTGACCCCCAAAATATAGGAAGTAGCTTAACTAACAACAATACTAAGTAGCTTAGTATAGGAAGAAATAATAAGTCTTTTTTTTCATGGAATTAAACGAATTTCGCGAATCGCTCGAAATATGGCAAAATACGCAAAAAGTAAAATCTGCGAAATATAGTCTCAATAGTTTGGTCAGGACAGCGATTTTATGTTTGAACCTCTCTAATGTTAATTTTACTTTTTGCGTAACTCTCTATTTCTTGAGAACTTTTCTAATAAATTGGAAATTATTTGAACACAATTATAAAATTCGTTTATCCAAAGATAATTCCATGTAAAAACTGACGTTTAGTAAATGTTTGTTGTTATTTTATAAAATAATAGTCGAAATGGTAAGGTACACAATTTTTTGAATAATTTTAAAGAATGTTACTTTAAGTGGCAAAATATAATTTGAAAGGAATGGGTCGACCGATTTTGCTCAAATTTTGTAATTCGACATTCTTTAAAATGATGTGATGCAAAAAATTGTATACTTCACAATTCAAGTTTTTTTTTACTATTATTAAATAAAATAATAAATAATAAATCTTAATAAAAAATAATAAGTCTTTTTTCCATAAGTCTCAATAATAAAAATAATAAGTCTTTTTTTCCATGGAATTAAGCGAATTTCACGAATAGCTCGAAATATGGCAAAATACGCAAAAAGTAAAATTAGCATTAAGGGCCCAAATTTTGGATCGCTCTCCTGAACTAACAAAACCATATTTCCCAGATTGCGGCTAACCCTTATATTTTGAGGATCAAAAATTCAAATCCATAGGAAAAAAGGTATGTTTATTTATAAAAAGTCCGTTTCTGTGTCCGATTTTGTAGTTTAAAATATCGTCTCCACTCATTAATCAGCAGATTTGAGATCGCCCCTTTAAACCATTGAGATTGAGTTCTGGATCGTGATGATCCGATAATTTGATTAAAAGTTATTTAGAGGGATTCGTTTATATTATTATTATTGCTCACTCTACCTACATAAACGTAAGCTTCGAGTGATGACTTGTGACTATATTTTCGGTAAAAAAGAGTAAGAAGAAGCCGCTATTTTAGATGTTTATTTAAGATTCAAAGCGCCTACCATTACCCACAATAATGGTAATCATTTGGTATATATTCTAGTTTATAACTTTGCTTTGACAGTTTCACAAGCTCGATAAAGTTTCCCGTCGCTTGTCATACTTCCCACTTTTCCTGTCAACTAATACTAGTACAGAAAACTTCATTCACAGTTTCCAGTGACTGACACCGTCTCGTGGTAACGTTAACGGATCATTTTCGGATAACTGATCTTCAATTTGTCTGTTTTTCCAAACGGAAAAATTAATCAATACCTTTAACTACTGTAACAATACTCGGACTTTTTAACGGTTTCAAGTGGTAAAATTTTTGAATAAAATTTAACTATTCCACCCACTCTTCGGTGTTCTTTGGCAGAAAGAAAAAAAAGAAGAAAGAAAAAAACGCTCGGTGTCGACGGTCACGCTGCCGTGAGGGCAAATAGAGCGCCAAGTGAACCGGTACACTTTGCAATCCTTCATGTGGCGTGGCGTCGGAAGAAGAAGCTGCCGATCATCATTTCACGCTTCGTTCCATCCCCATATAAAAACGTCCAAGGTCTCTTCCAAACGCTTTATTAACTTCCTTACCGGCAAACGGTCAAGTTCAGCATCTTCATCTTCTCTATCTTCTTCTCATTTTGGGACTTAACTCTTCATCAGTTGTTTGAATTTGTTTCTGTGGATGATTGAAAGAAACTGACTTTGAGTTTTAATTCTGTTCATAGTTTTGACTTTGGGAGATATTTGGAACTGAATTTCATAGCAAGATATTTGTGATTATCTTATTAAAGAAATTCTCGCCGGAGGTCATTACTCCGAAAAAAATAAGGTGAGTTTGCTTTTTTTTATAAATTTTAATCAACTTTTATTTGATTCATTTTCCAGTGCTCACTAAGAACTGATAAAAAAAATAATAATTTCCTTTACGAGAGCATTTTTAGCTTGCTAAAAAACTATTCAATTGGTTGAAAAACTACCTACCAATTAATTTTATGATTGTAACAGGGAAGTTATTATGGGTATTCAGATTGATCATATTTTTTGCTGAATTAATTTTCAGTAGTTTCTACAAATGAATAAGAAAAAATAATTTCTCTTTATGTTTACTCTTATATAATTTCTCTTTCTAATTTTGTAAAATAACTAATGATTCATTAGAAATTATTTGTTATTTTAAATGATGCGATATTTTCTGAAAATTTCTTTTTTTATGGTAATAAAATGCTGATTCAGATTTTTCCTACTTTTTCTTCTTGATTAATTTTTAGTCTTTTTCTTTAAAAGTAAATAAAAGATATAAAATTACTTTTGGACATAAAATAGCTTTTGTATAAATTAAATAATTACTTATTATTAGTTTGCGATATTAACAAAAAGGCTTTTTTTATGGTAATAATATTTTAATTCATTAAATATTAACTCAGATTTCTCATGTTTCCAGCATAATTACTTTTCGGTAGTTTTATAACGGAAAGAAAACCAATTCCTTACAAATGCAATTTTAATTTTGTAAAATAACTGTTAAATTAATTAAAAATTATCTATTTTTAATTTTACGATACTAACTGGAAAGGTAATTTTTTACGTAATTTAAATTTATTTTTTTCATAAAACGTTGTCGCAGATTTTTCATACTTCTTGTTTAAGTAATTTTTAGCCCTTTTTAAAAATTAACCGGAAAGAAAAAAATTTATTTTAATAACGAAAACAATTACATTTTTAAATCCAATATCTTAAATTAATTTAAAAGTGTAAAAAAAAATTTAAACAATTTATCTTTTATTTTTGAGATATTGGCAGAAATATTCATTTTATTATTACATTAAAATATATTATATTGTTTCTAATTTTAACAAATTTTTGCTATATGAAATTCTATTAATACAATTTTAATTTCAAATTAAGGGAAATAATTGTAACATATTATTGTCAATTAAAAAATATTTGTTTATACTTTTGTGATTACAAAAATTAATTTTTGAATGGTAAAATATGTATATTGCTCTTATATTTGATTTTTAATTAAATTTTTATACCTAGAGAAAATTGCTTTTTTTACTTTTTAAAGCAGGATGAAATGAAAAATTGATTTTCACTTTTTTAGCAATTTTAATTTCCAATATCATAAAATAATAATTTAAATGTGTGTATTAATTAAAAGAATATAGGTTATAGTTTTTATTTTCACGTTTTCATTGCATGAACTTAAAATACTTTTAAAAAAATGAAAAAACAATTTTTTTCTGGTTTCATTTTTGTTCATTAATTTTTATTGACTAATTTTTAATTTAGTTTTTGTTATAATGTAAATAAATTCGGTTTTTTATGCGAAAAGTAAACATAGAAATTATGAAAACAAATTTAAAAAAGTTTTGATGTTTAAGGAAAAATGTGTTTTAAAAAATAACTCTCCGCAATAATAATAATTAGATATTGTCTCTAGTGAGCCTTTTTTAAAACTAATGAAACAAAATAATAAAAATTATATAGCAAGAAATAATGCACATTATAATATTTTTCAAGTTTTTTATTCGTTTAAAACATTGTAATTTTCTTTTCATAATAATTCGAATTTAGTTTGGATTGCTTTCAATGTGCATTGCATATACAAAATGTAAAGAGTTTAGTGGAAATACACGCTAAGCCGCAAAAGGAAAAGAATCGAATTTATAAAACACGTTTGGTTTGACTGCAAATATATATCATTCTGCCTTCAATTGTAAGAAAAATAAATAAATAAATAACAAATGAAAAACAGCTTTTTGATAATTAAAAAATTAGTTAATAGATTTGTTATTAACTTAAAAAATTAATAACAAATTATCATTATTAACAATATTATTATACGTTATTACAAATTATTTATATTATTGTTATTAACTTAAAAGTTATATTTATTTTACCTATATGTTTAAAAAATAAGTTACAACTATTTCAATATATTTGTTACGTTTGTTTTGAGTTTCATCATCATTGAAACTTCCTGATGTTTCTACTCATTCTGAAATTGACTTTTCAAGGTTCGTAAGAAAGTTATTTCTGAATTCAGTTTAAAAAGAGCAAACAAAGATTCGATCAATTCGTTAATTCCATTCTATCTTTTATATAAAACTTTTGTAATAAGAAAAGTGGAATTAAAGAACTTCATTTAAAAAAAGTGATATAGTAGAAAGTGCGAACCTAGAATGAATATGGAACTCAGTATAAATATAGAACTCAGTTATAACATTTAACAAAATTTTTAAAATATGTTTCGTAAGAGCTTTCAAAATTGTAAACTTTAATGTTTAATGAATGTTTAAAAAATGAGCTCTTGTAAAAAGGTATAGAGCACAAAATTCGTATGTAAAGAAATGAAAATAATTAGAAATGTGTGATTAAAATAATGAACCTAGTACAAAATGCGCTATTTCAAATTTTAACAGTGAACCCAAATTTATTTTTACACCTACATACTCTTGAATTAATTTTAAAAAAACTTTTATTTGTCACTAACTTTTTATTATTACTTTTATTCATTTTATTTCTTTTACATGCGTATAATTAAGTTAGTTCAATTTCAGTTGATTAATTTCCAGTTTAAATTTATAGTTGAAATTTGTTTCATTTTTTAATTCTTATAAATATTTAATTTTTAAGAATTCCGTTAAATAATTGAACTTAAATATACTTAAATTATAAAATAAAATAATCTCTCTCTAGAATATAAAATATTTCCAAACGCAATGCCTTATCAGAAGATTAAGTTGAAAGAAATGATACATAACATATAAGTCAGCTTTGAAGGACATAATAGTACACCTCAGTCGAAAAAGATTCAAATTAAAATGATAAAAAAATAGTGGTTTTGGCTCTTTGGAATATATAGATACGCTTATTTTAACTTACCACAGTTTGTGAGTAAAAAAAATGATGTAAAATAAATATTACACAAAATTATTTATGATCTATCAGTAATTTACTATTTTGTTAGATTTTTCTTAAATTTATATCAAGTTATTAAAATTATCAAAGTTTTCTATAGTTAAAACATGAAGTTGCCACTTTATTTTGTCATTGTTACTTTCTTAACCAAAGTTTTTAAATCATTATTTTTAATCAATAAATTAAAAAAGAAGTAACTTCAGACCCTTTCTGGTTTTAAAATGAAACAGCTTTTCAATGAAATGAAAAAAGCTTTTAAACAAATTATGTAGAACTTATTTTGATTTTTTAAAACCATTGCTTATTTGCCTAAAGTTTTCGCCTTTTTTTTTACATTTCAAGTGTTAAGTACGAAATATTATAACATTACATTTTATATAACTACAAAAGCAATTCTTAGTCGAATAACAAATTGAAATTATAATTGCAATTACTTCATGTTATTATTTATTATTAACCATTTCGAGATGTTCTGTAGTCTCGAAAATCATTAATTACATTACATTGAATGATAAAATCTCTTACAATATTTGTTGATTTAATTTCTTTCTTAAAGTTCTCGAACAATCAAATAACAGTTACGAATTGTTATCGTTTGGTTTTTAAAGATACATAACTAATCTTTATTTGTTACGAATTAAACGACAATAACTTAAAATCGACATTTGTATAAGGAACCCTATCTTGTTAACATCTTATTACATGTCACTGCTTCTGTTAATAACGTGTAATTATCTTTTAAAATGCCTCATCATTCTTGAACTAGCGATTCACACTAGATCAATTCATTTTTTTATATTCATTTTGCCGATGGCATCACCTTGAAATCGCGTGCAACAAAACATTTAAAAAACAAACAATAAGTTATTTGTTTCCTGAGCAGACGAAACAGTAAAGAAGTCTTCGGGACATTTGATACAACTCAACTCATTGTAAGCCTATTGACCTATAAATGCTGCTCAGCGGATATGTTTGAGAGATTTTGAGAATGGTTTGTGCTGTAATTATGACGATGAGCCGAAAAAACGGTATTTTTTGGAATAAAAACAAAATATCTCTCTGTATTAAAAAAAAAATCGTAAGGGCGTAAGCAGACGCTGCTGTTTTGAGTGTTTTGCTTTGCTGAGCAAAAACTATAAGACTTAAAGAATTGAAATAACTAAAGTGTGTAGAAAAGTGTATAGAAATTACGATAGAATTTTAAAAAAAACATTCGATAATTTGTTCGAGCATTATTAACTGCTAAACTTGTTGAGAAAAATACCATACGTGCCGCTCTACAGGCTATTTCCACCCTTACAGTGAGAAAACAGTTTACGAAATTTGAAAAGAGATATAAAAAAGATAATTGTAGATGAAGTTGAATTGTGACCGAGCAAAATGATTACTTAAATTTTATCTCAATAAAATCGAAACTGAATCCGTTAAACTTTTAATTTTGAAGTAACAATCTGTTTATCATCAAGAAAAAATGCTTATTGCGGAACAATCATGGGGATTGGTGTGCAAAGATAGAAGAGAACCGAGTTTCTTTCTATAAAAATATTTATTTGGGAATCGAGTTATTTCACATCATAATTTTTGTAAAACGCAAAATCTACATACAGTGTGACCACAAAAGCAACGCCCCATTAAGGAACGGCAATACTTCGAAAACCATTGTAAAATGCGCAAAAACTCTGAATAGCTTTTAATCGAATCTTTACGTTCCAGGTCACAATCTTAATAGTTTGAGGAGGTGACCCCCAATATGCTAATTAATAAGCGCAGACTATAATTATAAGATACGAAATCAGATATATAAAAACGTAATTTCTCTAAACAAACGCCTTTTTTTTTGACGAATTTAGATTATTAACACTGAAAATATAGGAGTAACCACAATTCAGAAAATAGGGTCCCAAT